AAGTCAGACGCTACTTGACGGGCCCCATGTATTTCTATAACTGGTAACTTCGTACGTTGACGCCTGGTTCTTTTTGCTTATTTCAGCTGGAAAAAATAATGTGCAGCTTGACTTGTATTTGGACAAAGAGACTTGGACTTGACTTGTGTTTAGACGAACTTGACTTGACTTGTCCTGTGATCAAATGACTTGTGACTTGACTTGTGGCTGGACCTAATGACTTGTGACTGGACCTAATGACTTGTGACTTGACTTGTGACTGGACCTAATGACTTGTGACTGGACTTAATGACTTGTGACTTGACCTGCAAAAAATGACTTGCTGCCACCTCTGATATGGGCAGAATATCATGCTGTATTAACAGTGCTCTTATTATCTGGGTTGAGATTGAAACAAGATTTTAAATCCTTTGGTGTAGTAAAACTTTTTTCTGCATTGCTTTTTGGCCATGTGTAGAACCTAGCTTTCTGATACGACACCACAGTGGTCACTTCTCCCCACCAGTCAGTAATTGACAAACTATGGCTGCACATCGGTAGAAAAGAAAAACAAAATTTGAAAACTTGAATGACTAAAAACACTACTAAACTATGCATAAGTTGAAAACATATCTCCTCATTTAACACAAGTGAGGCATATGCGTATTGAATTTTTGAAAACTTTAGCCACTTATACAAACGGTAGGCACCTTGTATTATGATAATAGCCACTGTTATAGGAAAGAGATGCTTGACATCACCTTGGAATTAGTGGAAAAAGTCGTATCAAATATATTTCTCTACACAACATTTTTTTTACATGAGCACCGCATCACTCCCTCAATGCTGAAGATGACCACGCTGATGTCTGCCTCAGCCTAAGCGTCCAATTTCTGCATTGTCCAGTTCTCTGGCCATTTGGCATAGGGCAAGCGGACAACAGCAACACACTGTTAAGCAGTCGTTGCAGATGGATCCCTGTAATGTACAGAGAAGATGTAATATTCTGTCATTTGGAAAAAGGAATGAGGGAAAATGTGCAGTTACTGTTTTTTAGTGTAGTATCCACATCTTGGGGGGGGGCAAAATGCTTTTTTTTCCCCCAAAAAATGACTGTCCTGTTTTTTTTTTCACCCATAAAAGAATCCTCAATCCCCCAATCTGTACCATTTCTAAAATGATGGCGCTTACAATTTATTAAATAAAAAATAAAAATCGGCAACTTGTCTCGGGGGAGGGGGGTAACTTGCCCCCACCCCTTTCCTGGATAAGCTACTGATTTTCAGACTTCAACAGGGGCTAGGACAGTATACAGAGCATGGACTGTGTCCCAGGGATGACAAACCCCTGCAAATAATTCTTTTCTTCAGCCAAATTCTGATGAAAGGGACCAGGCAGTGATTTCGGTTTTCCTTTTGCCAGACATCTTGTGCAACTGTAGGCCCTATACTTTTTTTGATTAAAGCAAACCTGCTTGACATCCTTTGGTGATTATTAGGTTTGAAAAGTGGGCTCAAATATTAAATTTGTTCATTTGTCATCAGATGGTACTGTTTCTGTGATATAGTTTGTAGGTTTTTCTATTCAAATTCTAAACCTGGAAGTTTCCCATAAAAATACGTCACAGAAAGGGTATGCTGCTCATTAATATTGCCATGCGCTTACCTCTATCTGTCACAAAAGAAAATGAAATTTAATTTGACAAAAGGGGAGAAAATCCACTTGTCGTTTTGCACAAATTAATGTAACATAGAGGTGTTCTTCCTTGGGATGACAAGCAGTTTTGCTCATGCATATGGAAATCTCATTAGCATTTTCAAGGGTTGTATGAAAAAGATATTGCAAGATCCCTTTTAAGAGTTCCTGCACAGAGTATACAACAGGCTCTGCTGCTACCAGGTTTCTGACCTCGATGTTTTGTTGCATCCGGAGCTTGGTTCTCAGTGCGAAGATTCCCCCAGGAACGCAGGTCACGACAAAACAGGATTCCCCCAGTTGTCGAGCCAGCGAACAGGCTAAGCACGGGCTGCACACAGCACCCAGCAAACCTGGCAAACAGCAGAACAGGAATGGTAAGTCACGATGCGTAGATATTAAAGGAAGATTTAAGTTGGCGAGTTGGGTTTTGTCTAACCACAGAGCTACATCTGGAAGACTGGGGAGCCAGGAAGAAAGTGTGAAGTCGGATCGGGACATTTGCACTTGTTCTCAGGTACTCTACGGACTACACATCATCTGAGTATCAACTACTAACCACATGTACGTGGTAACATCAAATTTGTAAATCATTTCGACACTGGTAAAATAGAACAGAACATGGATGAGGAAGTACAGTTTATATGCCGTCGAAAGTGAAAAAGACTGGCAACCTATTGTGCAATGGACGCATTGCTTGGTAAAGGTACACGTGAATGTACTCATAATTAGACATCATCTGGCTTACACGTGTGTTCATCCTCCATACACCCAAATAGATCAGTTGACCAATCAGACGCCACCTGCATAATAATAAAAAAAATCGAAAACCGGTGAAGTATTTCATTTTGAGAGATAGGCGAGGGCGGATCCAGGTGGACCAACGGGGGACTTCCCACCCAACCCCCCCCCAAAAAAAACTGAGTCACGCAAAAAAATTTGTAGGCCTAAACAAATGAGAGACAGGCGTTTTTGAGGTCTTCATTTCCCGTCCTTCCAAAAGCGTTTAAATAGCCCCCAATGTCGCCTCATCACCCCTCAGAAAGGTCATTAAACATTACAGTAAAGATTTTGAATGTAATTATTTGGCCCTCCCCAGTCCAGCCCCACATTAAATCGGTTTCTAGATCCGCCCTTGAAAATAGGTTTACTGACGCCTTTGGTACATGTATGAATGGACGGGTGGGAGAGAAGACCGGATACAGCATTTGCAGGCGGTTCTGTCACTGCCAGAACCAACACTTTTTTTTTTCAGAAAAGAAACTGACATTGCACAGTGTCATGTTCAACCCCTCCCTTACGGAACTTCAGTTGCTAGTTAGTGTGCTTAGGCTCGTCACTTTTTCTGTCTGCCCCTGTTTGAAGGTATTTCGAAATTGACTCCTTGACGTTAACCGGAAATGGTTTAAGACTTTATCTGTTGAACCTTGCATATCAGTGGGACCTTGGGTGCATACAGTGGTGCACTGGGATTTTAGGGGGACACAAGGGGGCACCAGCTTATAAAGTTACAGTGGTGTGTTTTTTTGGGGGAGTAAGTTTTTGTTAGCCTTGTTCAATATCCATTCAATATTGCAAGGTATGATCTTATAGGCCTATCATTTTTTTTAGTGGAAGGGGAGCACCGGGAATGGGGGGGGCACGTGCCCCCAGGCCTCCTGCGTCTAGGCCCCTGGGTGCATACATATACGTGTAATATTTACAGCATGAAAATTGAAATAATACTGATAAATGCAGAATATGATGAAATCGGACTTTCGGAAACCCCAACCCGAATGAGAAATATCGTCAGGTTGCTTGGCGACTGCAAGTTTGTGTAATTTTCCGCCTACGTTCTTTGTTCGTTCAGTCTTTTACGTGATGCATCGTTTTGTAAGCCAGTTGGCAAACATGTGGCACCCTTGTTAGTAACAGCAGGCATGGTAGATCTGGCAATTTCAAGAAAAAGGCAGAGATGTAAGCACGTCGGCTTGTCACAGAAATGCTTCATTGATCTTAATACTGTTCATGATGTGCATAAAACGTGTGGTCCCCGCAACTTTGGAAATGAGAGTGTTGCTTGTTTTGGTCGTTTGTTTTATTTCTTTGGATTTTTTGGGAGGGTTTACCAGACTGTTTTACTTGGATGTCTTTGTGATGTCTTGAAATCAATCGTAATTTTATTCGAGTTCTATTTGGTATTTGTTACTTTCCTTGTTAGCTAGTGTTATCATTTTAATTTCAATTTTAAAAAATTATTCATATTGGCTTAGCTGTTTCTGGCACCGGTCGAAACGGCTCTTGTATTTCGTTCCTTTCTCAGGGCATTGCCGATAAAGTTTGACAGGCCCGTCGGACATTTCAACCTATCTTTGCTTTGCAACACACACCCACTTGATAAAGTCACCGCCAACTTTAAACATGATCGTCTCTTGGCCTTCCTGGAGGAGAAAAAAACCAAACCGGAACGCCACGTAATTCACAACCTCCCTGGGTAGGCGCGACGGTCAATCTCATCCTTTCCGCGGGCGAAGATCCAGAAAACACGAACGCGCTCGCCAACCGAAATTTTGTCAAGTCTGGGGGAGAAACTACAACACGTATGTCTGATTTTCATCCTGATTTATCCTCACAAACCAGTGGCCAGGGCGTATGCCAAACAAGCTTACTTCCTCCTGAATGAACTCGAAAACTGTGATACATCGTATGAGAGATCTGGCACAGCGCTCGAACCGGCAACCAGGGAATGATTTGGCCGAAAACCTCGTGAATCAAGACGAAAAGTACGACTGGAAGTACCTCGTCGGACCATGGAGGAAGGAGGGCCAGTATAGTAGTAGGAGCACGATGCTCCAGCACAACACTAAAGTGACGCGCATGCGTCATTGATCAGTAAGACATAGGCCTATGATTGTGTTACAGAGCCCACTATGAGAGGCTGCAGAAAAACCATGAAAAAACAAACAGAGACCCACGACGAAGCCCACAAAGCTTTAGAAAAGGCTGCCCAAAGCTTTGGGGAGATAGCGTTGAGTTCATCCAGTTCGGACATCAAGCTCAGCCTGGATGCGCATTGGAGTCATCCTTCACTGGGTAGCAAAATGGAATGGAAACATCCCGGAAAAACTGGCTTGAATTCATCGACAACCCTGAAGAGTGCGTGCGCTAGGCGCTGAAAATGTCACCAGATTCCCCGCATATTCTCAGTCGTTTGGCTATTTTCCGTAACGGAGCTGGTGATATTGAAATTGCTCTCAGTTTATTGAAAGACTCCTTAAATCTAGATAGCACCAAAATTAACTTGCACGCTTATTCAATCAGAGCCACAATCTGCATTGAACGCCACAAAAGTGATGGTGATCTAAGGTATCTGATGTATCTTACGTATGTATCTTTTTCAAGCCAAAGAGGACTTGGATTATATCGTGACAAAGCACGAATCACCCTGAGATGCTGGCGGAGATATACCTACATCTGGCTGAAAGGAGCGACGACCCTGCTGTGAGGCATGAGTACATCTTTCGGAAAGCTCTGCGTTGCTGCTTCAGGGCCGAAAACTGTCGGAATGGCCTCCATATTGCCCGTGGACGATGCTTCTGTTTTATCGGCCAGTATCGGAGAGCAAGGGAGTCATTTCAAGCGAGGGGAAGACAGCAACAGTTTCTCAACTAACTGTGAGCGATACCGAAACCAGTGGCCAGGTTCTTCTCAGAAGGGGGGGGGGTCCTATGGGGTGCGTTCCAATTTGATTCATAATTAAGTAAACACACTACATGTAGCATGGCGAGAGCTCCCATCCCCAAAGAGTTCGAATTTTCGGGGGGGGGACAAGAACTGGATAAGAGTTCTCGTGGGAGTTGCCCCTCGGCCACGCCATTTTGATAAACCAAGCAATGTGAGAACCGTAGGGAAGGACGATTACATACTGCGGTGCACTGAACGCAGGAAAGTAAGGTTTCTCTTTAGCTTGAAATTACCAAATGCTTGAAAATTAACCATTACACTGTGATTGCTTCTCTTGTCTTTTACAATTTTTTTTAAAAATTTGTCCTTTTTAAGTCAACATTTGGGTTTGAAAGAGAATTGCTGTGGTCCTTTTGATCAATTTCAGGTTTACTGCATGTATTTAGAAAAGTGACAGAGCCCATCTAGTGTTAGTTTTTGGTTTTTACGGAATCCTTTTAAATTCTACGGTTGTCATTTCCCACCGACCCAACTTTTGCCTCCCGACCCTGACCTCGGAAAGAAAAATCTTTTTTCCCCTATCGACCCTGGTGAGAGGACCTTGTCTGTACAACCCCCCCCAAAAAAAGTAGGTTGTGATGACCTCTGAAAAAAACAGCGCTGAAAATGTACATAATTGTGATAATTATGCGATATGATTTTGCCCAAACATCAAAGCAATTATTAACTGCGCATGTCCCATTTTCAAGGTTATTTGCATACGTAACGAGGGTTATGAGAATTCGTGTCAGGCAAGCAGCTGCTTCATTTCATGAAATTTATGTCTTATTGTCTCTTTTTGGAAATAAAAAATACCTGCCGAAAGTAAGATAAGGCCTTTCCTAACGTATTTTGTAAACATAAAATTGAGAAGTACCGAAGTGGTCAAAACTAGTGATTTTTGTGAAAAGCTCTTTTCGTAAGCGGTACTATGTTTACGTTTTGATGCGATTTTTAAAGGCTCGAAACAAAGAATTCGAAGATTTCCTGAAGTTTTTAAAAGCAGGCTTTGGTGCAGAAAGGTGTGATAATGTGAGATTTGCTGATGGTTTTCCGATAGATTTTTTTCTTCCCGTCCGGACGCCTTTGCCTATCGACTCAGCACCGAATCTGTTTAACCGGCATACGGTAATCTATCTTACGGCCGTGCGAGCGTAAGAATCCAGTGACTCTGGAACGAAAGACGAATACAAAAGTGCAGTAATTTAACATGAAGTTTATTACTGAAACCGAGGTCTATCTGTCATTATAATACTGAAAGCAAGTGTACAAATTCACGTTTTATATACATGTATCGCCACTTTTACATGTAGTACGATATATATGCGGGACACAGGAACATGTACATGTAAACGTGTTTTGGGGGCAATCTTGGACGTTCCTATTGTCCTCTTTTGTTCATACTTCAACTTTTTTGGAAGGCTTCTAATACGTTTTGTACACGTTTGGCAATCCTGGACGTATCGGCAGTGATGTAGTCGAGTACTTTTTGAGAACCAAGCTCTCTACCAAATATTTAACTAGTTAGGAGGGAACAAAGCTGAAGTACATCGGCATTTGATGGTACATGCATAAAGGTAAGATTACAAAGTAACATAATGACTTCAGACCATCACTGTTTGATTCAAATTAACTTTTTACGACAAAAGTACTCGGAAAGTACTTGGCCGAGTACTTTCCGAGTACTTTTCTCCTCAAAACTTAAATTTTACACAACTGGGAGTGTCTGAAGTCTAACATTTATTTTGTAATCTTACCTTTGCACATTTACCATCAAATGCCTGTGCACTCTGGCTTTATCCCCTCTTACCCAGTTCAGTATTTTGCAGAGAACGTTGGTACTCGGAAAGTACTCGACTACAACACTGCGTATCGGGAATCGTGGATGGTCATTAATTCTTTTGTGTAACGTCCACGACTGTTTGGGAACATCAGTGCCGCAGTGCACGTCGTCTTGACTCTGACTTCGACAAGGTATTGTGTCATATGCCAATAGGCCTAAACAATATTTCTTTGTAGTCAGCTAGAAACAAGGACACTCATTGTATTCAATACAAAAACAAGTGACAAGTGCAGGCAGTGCGCTTTGCCTGTTTTTTTTTTCAGTCATCTGGCAGCAGCATGGACTTTTTTCTAGGAATTTTATTTTTTTCCCCACCAACCGACCCCTCCCTCAATTGAAAAAAAATATGAGAACCATAGAATATAAGAAGGGTATTCTTACACATGAGTAGCTCCCTGCATTTCCCTTTTTACATGTATTTAGTATCAGTAGTTCCAACATCTAGTGTAAAACTAGTGTTTCCCTTGGTGGAATGAACTTAGAGCCTCCACAACAGACCCTCTTTTATACTGTTGGGTTGGAACTGTGCGGATGCGACCAAAAGTTCATCTCAATGAATCTTTTTCTGCTCGTGCATTAAGGGCGATAAGTTGGCCGCTTGTTGGCTGGCCAAAATAAGGGGCGGTGCTTACATTCGATTTTTTGTTTACACTCAAGGCATTACTTGAAAAAATGTATTTTAGGGATAATGTAGAAGATGGGTGATTTCTGTATAACTCGTTACTGGCAAACGTGAACAATATGCTATACTTCGATGAACAAGTCTTTTTTGTCGCTGGTCACAAACCAAGTTTTATTGTTGAAGTTTCCATTTGTGCCTATGAATTTTGCTTTGAAATTTGTATCATGTAACTTTCAAATTAACATATGTTGGTTCTTGTAACAAGAACGATTGGCTTTCTCAGCTTTTAACAAATCAAAATAATCAATACTGCTGAACCCAGACTAACTGGTTCAGCTGATTTGCAAATCATGAACGAACTAGATTAGCTGATCTGCAAATTACGGACGATACGAACGGGTTCAGCTGATTTTCACGTCATGCTGGCCGCGTGAGGTCCTGATTTGTCCACTGCAAACGTACATGTACACAACAATTTCACACTTCTTGTTTTCTCTCAAATGTATACCGACTTCCGCCCGCCTGTGCCCTACATGCGCCCATAATTTTATACATGGACTTCTTTTTCCATATAACTTGATTTCCATCTGTTGGAATTTTCATGACCGTACCCGACTTGCGCAGAGATAGCGTCTCCTACCAACTTCGCTAGCCAGAATAGCACCAACTTCAGACTACAGAACTAAAATCATGACTGTTCGCAGAACAGCATGCAGCCATTATGTGCCGATCGTCCCTGTGGATTGACGCATAATCCACCAGTTTAGTTCCAACAATTAAGGCACCCATGTCGCAGCTCAAGCAAGTTGGAGCGTCGAACATCGTTCAAACGATGGATGGCTTCGAGTCTCAGTTCTGACCTACCAGTTTGGAACCAGGCCCTGGGGCATGGCCGCACTACCGGTTATCAATAGCCGATTTTATTTATCAGTACAGAGAGAAAGACTCTTGGAAGACAATTATTCGAGAGGTCATTGACCATCTAGGCTGCGAGGGTTGCAGCCAAAAGTAAAATGTGAATGACAATGAGATTTTACAAATTGGTCAACAGCGGACGTTCGAGTTTAATTATTATTGTACGTGTGCAACTGAGTATCGATTGAAGTATAGTTCGAGCTCGAATGTTATACCCTCGCATTATTCCTCATAATAATGATAATCAAACATCGGTACTTTTCTAAATATTGTGGTTGGATGGACTTATTTAGGAAAAATATCAGACGACTTGAACTGTGCAAAGTTTCCACAACATGGATATGAAATTAGTCGCGTTAACTCGGCGGATTCACACTTGTCGCCAAACTGAACACAAACGCCAATTTGGTAGGAGAAAATAAATTATTTGGCTGTGAATTCGCAAAAAAAAATAAGATTTCAACTCGGGCGAATTTTACTGCACACGTTTTCGTGTACTCAACTCTGTTGGAGTTTATTTCAAATGTCACAACTAAGCTCAATGTAATGAAGCTAGAAAAATAAAGATGGCAACAGATGGGGGCGCCATTCAAAATAATTATGTATTGTAGATATGCTGCGCTTTTAAAAAGTTAGAAAATATTCATACTTTCCTGACAAGTGGGGGCTTTGTTGGTGTGTCATCCAAGAATTATATAGGCCTATAGCTATTCAAAGTTTGTTTTATAAATGTATTTTTGAGAAAACTTTGTTTACTGGCCTTCTGTTATGAACTCAAAAACACCAATTCAATTCGAAGATTCACCAATTCGAAGTAAAGAAAATTTAGGGCCGCAAAATTATCAAAAATCCTGGATTTTGATACTGAAAGGGCTGTAATGTTGAGCCTTCTACCCGGGGTGACATCACACAAATGTAGCACAAAAATGAATGGAACACAGCGGCTTAATTTCAAGGAAACCAAATAAATCCCAATCATTACTACTACCACTGTTGTCATTGCCCCTGTCCCCACAAACACTTCTAAAAGTTCTAAGATGTGGTAAAATTCATGATATATCGTATCTGCTCACCTTGATATACTGGGGTCTCGACATCTTTGGCTGCGGTTGTCGTGTGATCGGTTCTAGTCTCCTGAGATGGTACTGTTGACACGCTGGCAATGAAAAAAGGGCATTTCTTTAATTCAGGGGAACATGTCACATCCTTATAGATCGAGCTTTGCTTCCTCGTACATACAGATCGGTACTTTTTGAAGTTGTAGTGGTAAGGGATGAGCAAAGAAGACATACTTTGTCAGGCAAATTCATGGTCACAGCTCTGGTTGTTTGTTAGATAACCGCGACTCATAGGCGCTATGTTTTACCACATTTGACCTAAGATATGCACCCTACCGACACGTACCCCAAAACATTGAAAAGAGTGAAGGCCGTTGCCCCCCCCTTTGAAATTTTAAATTGTACAAAACCTATGTAATCACTTTTCGGTGCCACCTTCCCCCAAAAAGCATGTGCGCTATACCCAGGTGCCCCAGAGTTACTCCTCAGTTTGAGAAGCAACCAATTCCCTAGGATAACGACAAAGTAGAACGTCAGTTCATTAAGACACTTCATTCAGCGTAGCGATTGCCACACACGTCGACTAAACTGTAAAAAAGGGGGGGTAGCACTAATTAACGTTTTCCGATTTTCAGGTGTACGGGGTGGTGTTTTTCGTAGGAAACGGACCAAGAGGAATTGTGTTGCATCCATATACGCACGTAACAACTCCTGATGCATATGTACTTGTGTTTTGCAGCTTCCATAATGTCTGAATACACATTCGGGAAAACCACCACAAGTGTAGGATTGAAATAATCAAACGAGAACAAAAGGAACTTTGACAACTACGACAATATTTTACATCAACTGTGGCGAGTTTCTTACCGGGATGGTTGATTCGAAATGTCCTGACCCTCCCCAGCGCCATCATGGCGGTCATCGTGTACCCCCGTAATGGCCGGTGGCCCCAAACTTTGGAAAAAAGTTAAATCGTTGACCTTTCCGACTTTTTTTTCGCAACAGAGAATCAAGGAAGTCAACGTAGTCATTGCCATAAGTCTCGGCCAACGGGAAACTGACATGATCGTGACTAAGACGTTAGAAATGATTCATCGGATCGGGGGTGCAGGAATGCGGCTATGAGATGGAACGGGCCAGGTGGTCGCACATCGTCTGCAAGAAGCAGGATCTTCTGAAAGATCCGCAGGTCTTCAACTCCACGAACAAGCCGGGCACTCCTAGATAACACATCATCAGTGCCCCCCAGCCCTTAAATTAACCGTCCATAAGTCGTTCAAAGCCGCCGGAACGATTAGCATGAAGACAGATCAGGCATCGATTCAACGAACGCCGGTTGGTTCATTATGCTATTGGAAGCACACAACTTGGCCAACAATTTGCAGGTTGAAATTCCACTGGCAATTTTCCAGACACTTCAAGTACGTCTTTCCTATTTCTGTACGCCTATTATTCGCGAAGTAATGGCCCATCTATTCTTAGACAGTCCATACTTGTTCCATATTCCAGACATGTGAGTAGTACATGTACCATGGAGGTGGTATAAGATCATGGCAGTTTCAGAAAAAAACTGTCAGTGATTATCTCTCTCGTCCCCTCTCTATTCAACTTCAATTCAAGTCTATTACGAGCCAACCACAATCGATTCATCTAGTAACAAGCTATTAAACATGGCAGAAAATCGTTTCGTCTTTTACGGTACTTATTCAGTACTCCGTGCACGCGGCCCAGCTTTTTTTGTGACTTGATTTGTTAGTAGTAAAGTTAACGCTAACCTAATTGAACGGAACTTAATTGCCTTTCTTTCCAAACATTGCTCACATCCTAAGAAGTTTGAAAACTAATTGGCTGTGGCCTTGCGCCTAAGCTATGGGTTTGTAACTTCCAATCACCGGGCCAAGGATTCGAATCCAGCAGTGACTTTTTGCCAGGGCAAGTCACCTTATCCGTCAGCTTACTTCTGGAGGGCAGAGAGGGTTATCTTTTTTTAGGTTGATCAGCCAGATGATAAAGTCTGAAATGCTGCACTTAGCTCTACAGGGAGCTGAGATATGGTTTTGAGAATACTTCTGTGCATGATCAACAAGAATCATGATGACGTGACGCCCTGAGGACTACGGCAGGATACTTGTGGACGTGCACTTATAAGACTTTTATAACACTTATAACACTTTTATGACACTTATAACACTTTTATAAGACTAATTTTGAAGGACATGACCTTTGAAAATCTGTCTTCAACAAAGCACACGGAAATTTGAGATTCGTTAAATCGTTAAGGGCGAAAATGCTAATTGCATTTTGAAGCAGGGAGTGTTTGAGGGTATGTTAAACTCCTCTTGCCAATAGACAAATCCGATGAGACTCCATTCCGACGGAGGGACCATTTACTCTCTGGCAGCTGTCTCGACCTGAGCGCGCGCACTTCGGCAATTGACTGTTGGTCAAGGAGAAATTTTGCGCGTACGCACCCCTTGCGTGCGAACAGGATGGCCCCGTAGTAATAGCTTCTACTTTTGGTCACGCATTACTCGTACCTTTAATATAATTATTTTCCTACCTATGCACATTTTGTCGTCCCCGTTCGGCAGCCGAGTCACACTAGCGCTGGCCACCGTGAAGGTTGTCGTGTTCCCCGAGGTCGACTTCAGGCAGACGACATTGGATGCTGGGTAAGATGACTGGGCTTCCTCGCGTCTCGTCTGTGGAGCAGAACTTCCCCTTGACCGGTAAGGAGCCGACGGGAGAGTGTTACTCTCGCAGCGCGCGGTGGAGAACCCGGGATCAGAGGGGAATTCCCGCCGCAGGTCCCTCGTGGGGTAAGTCTCATAAAGCAAGTCTGGGACACTCCGCCAAGGTCCAACCATTATTGTCACCTCTCCAAGAGAACCAAACAAACCAAGGCAGACACGAATCCTGACGTCAACTTTGCGGTCACCAGGGCCTCGCTACGTCCCTTCAAATAAACATGCTCCCTCAGTCAGTAAAACCCACCTCTGAACTTTGCAAGAAGATTAGTCGGCCATTTTAATTGTCGGCTTTCCGGTACCCCTCCCGGTTTCTAGTCACGTGTTGCCAACGCTTCTGTTGGAACGTTCCAGAGTTTAATCCTTTCCGGAAATCCGTCGTTGTCGGTCGGCACTGCGCAGCGCTCGTTGCCTTATCACATTGGACATTCTACCATTAACAGACGAATATTAAAATGAGAAAAGGAAGCTTGGGCATCGGTGTATTTTTAACAGCAGCTTGATTTTAACAGTGATGACTAATGGGGGGTCCTAATATATCTCAATTTAAGAGCCGTGTTGACTGTCTTTAATGCATGGTACATCTTAGGCAGAAAACCTAATTTGGGTCTACATTGCTCAAGTTCTGTCCAACTTCGTCAACATGAAGAAGGCTACATGTAACCATTTCCCGGAATGTAGCTGATTACGTATAGAATGGCTAGAGATCTTGAGCTGAACATATAGTCCATCAGCAACTATGTGGGTATGACGAAACCATTCTCTTTTATGAGACCTTCAGACCCGCAATTATGATCCTCAGACTTTTTTGGCCTTTATCGGCACTGGAAATTATGTTTCAGTCCCTGAGTCTAATCCTGATTGATTGTTTAGAGAAGCTTGGGGTCAGCGTAAATTCTAGCCACGTGACCCTAGTTTTCAAAAGGATTAGATTAGATTTGTAGATTTGGCTCAATTTGTAGATTTTGGTGTGAACGGGTCTTGGACTGGACGAAATGCATACAGAATTATTACCTCCAAAAATCTAATTCACCAAAATAGCTTCCAAAATATTTGCACTGTATATTGGTTTGATAAAAAACGGGCGTGTAACAGTGATATAGCGCAGAACCCCCGGAGAATAAAAGAAAAATAGAAACGGACAATGTGTGTTCCTGATGACTTGTTTCAAAAATACCTCATACGCGGACCTTCTTTTAAATAAGAAAATGGCACACGGGTAAGTCTGGCTGGAGCACTTATAAGATTACTTACAAAGGCTGTGGCGAGAAAATGAAAAATGAAATTGAGGTTATGTTGCAACTGCCAAAATTTAGTAGAGCAATCGATTATAGGCACTACGCATCGTCTGAATATTCGTTTTCAGTAAAAAAGAATACCCCCCCCCCATCTGAGAACTGGATACACCACTGTGCGCAGCGGGCAAGGGGAAAATAGGCCTACACGATAAATTTGATTAATTTTGGCGTCTACGACGGTTAGTACAAGCACTGTACGACACCAGCTGAATTCTTTAGCACTGACATTAACCTGCACAATTAAGGGCTGATCCAGAACATAGTTTTTGAAGGGGGTTCCAACTATAATGGAGGTTGTCTTTATATATGTTATCTTCATTATTGGCTTTCTCGATCAGTTGTGAGGATAAATTTCGTGTTTTTCTACACGCCGCAGTGAGGAAAGGAAAGGAAATATTGTCTTGGGTCAAAACTAGCTGACTGTAGGGGATGTGGAAAGGGAACCTCAAGAAGTTCCCCAAAGCGGCAAAGATATTAGCAGTGTCTCCTCTTCAAGTTGGTCACCACATCTTGAGTAGGCCATGCGTGCTTTCAGCTGACTGCAGTTCAACGAGGGAAAATAGCTCCAGATGGTATGCGAGAAAACAGTACTTTGACAGTGGCATGCATTACTGTCCCCAATTCTTAACAAGGACATATTACAGAAAAACCCACTACTGGCAAAATATAGACCTATATATAACAATATACAACATGTACCAACCAAACATTTCTGACACTGCAGGGTCCATGCGATATGCGTAGGTAAATCAGTTTCACGTTTCACTCAGAACGTGCAGGAACACGAACCAGTTAAGCACCCAAAACCCTTGATATCGGGGTCTAAATGAGAAGTCGAAACTTACTTCAAAATACGTCGCGGACCCCTCCCCCTGGCTCATATCAGCATGGATCCCACTCGAGTGATATTGCAGTCAGCGGCGTAGCCAGGATTCCTAGCACGGGGGGGCGAGCGGGGGGCTTCACGCTTGAATTAATGTTGGACATACATGTACATAATGATCGCGATTACATCAGGGTATGCATGTTTTCGTTTCCGAAATGCACGTGGGGGGCGACGATTTTTCATTGGGGGTGTGCGCCCCATGAGATTGATTCCATGGTGACGTACCCGCAAACCCATTTCTCTCACAAAATATTGCACGTTAGCCGTGTTAGTCTTTCCTCGAGGCTCGAGGGCCATTATGCGTGCCGCGTGAGTGAGCTTCAATAGTTACGCTTCGCGGGGTGTACATGTACGTGTGCAAAAGCGTCCACATAACTGGGTGTGCATGTACATGTACGTGCACATGTACGTGTACGTGCACATGTACGTGTACGTGCACATGTACGTGTACGTGCACATGTACGTGCACATGTACGTGCACATGTACATGTACGTGCACATGTACATGTACGTGCACATGTACATGTACGTACGCACAACTGATGCTCACTTACGGAGCTCCGTGCGCAACTGAAAGCAGGTTGTTACATGCATCTTTAATTAATAGCCGAAGGCATGTACATGTACATGTGCGGTACATCATGTACAAGTGGCCACTGTGAACGTGATTGTTCTTCATGCGCCAGCTTGCTTAGTTGTTAAAATTACCGACAACGGCAAAGGTACGTGAGCTGCCCCCACGCACCATTTTAGCTGTGACTGCTTTAACGTTTGACTCCATCCAACTTCAACCCTCGGGTGCTACCTAGCCATGTTAGCTATTTGGCATTTATACCTCCATGCATCGCTTCTTGTTGGGAACGTGGAAGAAAGATCCCCATACACGTACATGGACATCACATTTTACCCTGTGCATACACCCTACGAGACTGGTTTGAAAAATTGTGTTTTCTGAAGTGAATACTTCAACAGTTTTACTGCTAAATTTGACTTTTAGGACATTTTGTGCTTTTAAATGGCTAGCCTACTAGTACTAGTAGTAGATGGCCTAGTACATGTTGGTCACTTCAGGGAAAGATTTGTTGCATCTGTGCCATGTAGGTGAGTTCTCCCCATACAGGCCATAACCAGTACTCTTGCCCTTTTTAGGAAAAGGAAAACATAGGAGGTGTCAGTTGTGATTGATCAGGTGATCACACAGTGACAGTTATTGAGAGTGCATGCCAGCTAGCGCTACTTGGAGTACTGATTTTCTGTAGTCTGGATGGGCAAATTGCTTCAGAATTTCACCACTTTAATGAGGATATAACTTATAAGGTGAATAAACCTTGTGGGGAAATATGCAATATCAAGCAATTTACAGATGCCCAGTTTAGGCACGTATTGATGACAGTATTTGTCAACAAAATGGGTCCAAAGAATGTTTGCCCAAGAAACGGGAGGAATTGTTCTAATGATCATGGCAGCTACATGTACCAGACATTAGTCAAAATAGCCGGTATTTTCTGGTCTTGGAACTAGACCAATCCCAAGCTACATAGTCTCAGCAGCACCTAGGACTGAGGGCTATAATGTCTTAATCATTAAACACACACTACCCTGGCCGGCTATCAATTGTGCCCAGGCCATTATTGTTAGGAAAGTTGACAACAAATTTAGAGACAAAAACTACAACATTTTGTCCCCCACAATATCAACATGTATGGTTCAACACTGGTGTCCCTAAAACCATTTGTCATGAAAGGTTTAAATAACTTTCCTCTTTCATTAAAATTCCAGGGCATGAAGCGAGCTAGGGCAAACAGCACTGATCGTGCACAGAAGCGCAGATGTGGGGATTTAGCCTCCCAGCCCAAATATGGTAACAAGATGCCGTTTTTTGTGTGAATTTCCAAGGTGTAAGGCAACCAAGTCCCCAAGTTTTAACGGTCTTAGTGATCAGTGTAAACCTTACAAATTCATTTGAACCATCTCAAGGCCGTTCCCTAGTCTGAGTGTCCTTCGTTGTTCACTGGATCCCGCAGCTGCAAAACAGCATGTGACGTGTGCGCACACAATTTATGTGATCCCTTGTGCTAGCCACTACGAGCTGACTTTTATAAACTGTGGCATCATTTTGTGCAGAAATCTGCTCAAGGTTGTTGATCATTCATAGGTGTCAGCTGACCATACTTTGCCATCAGGTGACTAGATCAGCTGATAGGTAGCCTCCATGAAGGTGTAATCAAGAGGGTTTTAGGCCTTGTTAATGTGCTTTTCTTTAGTTTTGGATGACAAATATCAGTACTTATGTACAAATACTGTATGGACCAACATCAGCTCAACTGAATGTCCAGCCAGACTGCATGGTCCAACATGCAAACGGAGCCAGGCATGGATCTGTGCCTCCCATATTTTTCTTTACGCCATTAAACTTGCTCTAACTGAAGGCCCAAAATGCATGTCTGCGTAACTGTCAAAAACTAGGACTCAAGCATCATTAATCAGCTAATATGCACAGATATCATAAATACATCTGCAATTGAGCATCCAGTACACAGATTAACCATCTGTATGTACCATGTCTCAATTCTGTAAGTTTATATACCTAAACTTATCAACAGTACTGACCTATCTTAGCGCTTTACCAGTACATGGTTGCATTCTGATGATGTTACCCTTGCAGCCAGTGACGCAGTTCAGTCTGCGTCCACGCTGAAACCAAAGAGGGTGTCTGAGAGAATTGCAACCAGACAGAAATTAGCACTGGCGGCTGGAGTGGGCCATCGTCCCAAGGTTGCCGGCAAGGCAGAGCAGCATCGCAAGCTGGTGGCCGCAGTCAGGGAGAGCATCAAACCCGTGGAGACAGCCAAGGAAGGTTGGTCCAAGACCATTCCTGGTGCCCCATGGTCTGAAAGTTTGTTCACCCCAGTTGCCCCAGATCAATACCAAATCCACCGACGGCCTCTAGAAGTTACATATAAATTGGAAAAATGACACTGTACGGCTTTGCCCAAATATTTTTATAAAGCATCGCTCACTAATTTCAAGCCGTTGATGTCTACTCATTGAAGACAACACAGCAATTCTGTTTGCGCATACTCTGTCAGTTTCTAATCTTTACGAGTGTACAAATGTTTGTAATCATCGGTTTCATTCATTAGTGCCAAATACAACATTCTTATGCAGCACTTAACGCCGACACAAACAGCGGTTCAAATTTTTTGTGTTATTTCGCCGTAGATGCGAAGAAACCGCCTGCCAAGGCGAAGAGTAATATTGCAGCTTCCAAGGCCAAACCACGAGCAGCTAGAACAAGCGCTCTTAAGGAAGGGAACAAGGAGGCAAGGAAATCAAAGAAAGACGTGGTAAAGAAAAAGGAAGGGACAAGCCATAAGAAAAGTAAAGAAGTGAAGAAGAAAAAAGAGAAGAAAGAAAAGAAAAGTAAGAAAAAAAGCAAAAAGAAAAGTGAGGACAGAACAAAGACAAAAAGCCAAAAGAAACGTGAGGACAGAACAAAGACAAAAAGCCAAAAGAAAAGTGAGGACGGAACAAAGACAAAAAGCCAAAAGAAAAGTGAGGACAAAACAAAGACAAAAAGCAAAAAGAAAAGTGAGGACGGAACAAAGACAAAAAGCAAAAAGAAAAGTGAGGACGGAACAAAGACAAAAAGCCAAAAGAAAAGTGAGGACGGAACAAAGACAAAAAGCCAAAAGAAAAGTGAGGACAAAACAAAGACAAAAAGCCAAAAGAAAAGTGAGGACAAAACAAAGACAAAAAGCCAAAAGAAAAGTGAGGACAAAACAAAGACAAAAAGCCAAAAGAAACGTGAGGACAAAATAACGACCAAAAAGAAACGTGAGGACAAGAAAACAGAAGAAGTCCAGAAACGGAAGACAAAGAAGGATGAGCTGAATGAGAGGCGAGCACGGGTCAAGGTTGTGCCAAATGACCAGCTAACCCCAAACCCTAACATCAAGGTGGTGCCAAAGGACCCCATGTTTGAGGTCAAGTAAGTGCAACCCATGGAATGGACTTTCTGCTAGACTCAGCCCTCAGCAATAAAAATTCAAAGAGTATTTCTTAAAGATACTATGTGGTATTTCAGCCGTGTCTGTGCTTTTGGCATTCCTTTAAATGGGGGAGGCGGCATTTGGCCTAGTGCTTAGTGTTTGTAACTTCTGATGGTAGGGTTGGGGGTTCGAAACCAGCTGGTGTCAGCATGTTATGATCTTAGTTTTGTCACTATACCCCTACGTGCCTCTCCACCCAAGAGTAAATGGGTACCTGTGAGTCTGAGGATAGATATGGTTATTACCTTTAGCTGTATACTCAGCTGTATGGTCTCAGAAATGTTCAGATGTTGTGAGCCCAATTTGCAGTGAAAATGATAATATATTGGCAGCTTTGAATGACAGATACTGTGAGATACTATGCACCTGATAAATGCTTTGATATTATTAAAATTGATACTTTCACAGATTGTTGCATTCTGTTGAATATTTCAATCAAGAGTGAAGCACAAATGCCACTTCCTATGTGGGAT